ACAAAGTTTTGCGCACATTTGCAATGGAAACACAGCTACTGATGATTCATGTTTGTTAGAAGCAGCAGCTAGTTGTCTTTATTAATGGGTTGACCAAGATGTGAAGCATGTTGTCTGAAAGTCAAATGAAAAGAATTAATTGACTTGTTTTTTTCTGGGATTGTTTCTTCCAGTGGCTGCCAGGCATGGGCTCCAGAGTTTGGGTAAAGTTGCAGTCAGCCGGCGTATGCCCCCTCCAGCCAACCTGCCCAGCCTGAAGGCAGAGAACAAGGGAAATGACCCAAATGTCAGCATCGTCCCTAAAGATGGTAGTGGTTGGGCATCCAGAGCTGAAGCAGGGGATGAAAGGTAAATAACTTCAACGCTTGTAATCACTGCCATGCTCTATTATCATCCAGCCTTTCAGACTTTATTTGTTTTTCTGAAAAAGCAAGTTTACCATTAAACAGTCTTGTTTCGTATTGTTAAAAATGATTCTGTTTTGTGTCGCAGGCAGCAGGAAACTCCTCCACCCCAAAGCAAACCAGCTGCTGCACAGTCACAAGAGCCTTCTGCTGGGGGCAGCCGCTCTTGGGCAAACAGCAAGCAGACACAGCAAGATGGTGAGTCTTAAACCTAACATGGATTCTTTACGTGCAACAAAATATGCAGAAGATACTCTTGGTGTGTGTGTTGAAGGGTTTGAAGAACACCTGTTGTAGSAATGCGCGATATAAACGATATACGGTAGAAACTATATAAATTTGTCCTATGATAGAGATCTGTAGTCTACCGGCCAACTGTGCAATTGTTTTTGATGATGTAACCTGCTGGAGTCAAAACAGAGGAAGTGGGAAGCAGCCTGGCTGAGAGCGAAAATGAAGAGGGGGAAAAAAACATAACTTATCCAGACCTGGTTCGGGTGTGTGAAAATGAWCGCCGAACTGTTTACATGTTTACGTGACGGCACGCCTGCAGCTGGAGGAGCGCGCGCCGCGGCACATGGTGACGCAGCGAGGTGACAGTCAGTGCTCCAGYRGGACGCACAAAAGCTCGCCGAGTCTGGACCTCGTTTCTCCTGCGGTCATAGCGCAATACTGTCTCCTTGTACAGCGGGGAAGWGCTGTGGGAAAGGCTGACAGTCTGACTGTCTTTACAAAAAATAAAAAATAAAAGAAAGGCAAAGCATAGACGGGATGATTGTCACCCTGTCGGAGCGCTCACAGTTTAAACAGGTGGAGTGCAGAAAAAGTAATTTGCAAAGTGTGTAGAAAGGAATAAATAC